CATTATTGTATTTTGGAGGTAGATAACTTGTTTGATTTCACCAGATCACAGATGGAGGGAATTTATCTTGAGATGAATCACACCTTGACTCTCATCCATATCTGATGAGACTCTGGACTTTGAACTTTTGAGTTCGTGCTGGAATGAATTAAGACTTTGGGGCTATTGGGCTGGAATGAATATATTTCAAATGTTAGAAGGACATCAATTTTGGGGGTCCAGGGCAGGAATGCTATGGTTTGAATGTGTCTCCAAAAAGTTGACATGTTGAAAATTTAGTAGTCAATGGAACAGTATCAAGAGGTGGGGCCTTTAAACGGTGATTGAGTCATGAGGATGGAGCCCTTATGAATTAATGCCCTTATCCCAGGAGTAAGTTAATTCTTACACGAATGAATTACCTCTTGAGAGAAAAGATTGTTATAAAAGCAAGTTGGGCTCACTCTTGTGGTCTCTTTTGCACACACTGGCTTGCCTTTCTGCTTTTCCACCATGTTATAACACAATACTAAAGTCTTCACCAGAAGCTGCTGCCATGCCCTTGGAATTCCCAGCCTCTAGAGCAACGAGCTGATAAACTTATTTTCTTATAAATTACCCAGTCTCAGGTATTCTGTTATAGCAAAAGAACATGGACAAAGACAGCTACCATAATAAAATATCACAGACTAGGTGGCTTAAACAACAGAAATTTATTTTCTCACATGTCTGGAGGCTAGAAGTCTAAGATCAATGCGTCATCAGGGTTATTTTCTTCTGATGCTTCTCTCCCTGGCTTGTAGATGGATCTGCTCCCTGTGTCTTCACGTGATCTTTCCTCTATTTGTGTGTGTGTGGTAGCATCTTCTTCTGATAAACACACCAGTCAGAATGGATTACAGCCCATGTCAATAACCTCATTTTACCTGAATTACCTCTTTAAAGATCCTATCTCCAAATATGGTCACATTCTGAGGTACTGTAATTTAGAACTTCAACATACGGATTTTGAGGATGGGGAGACACATTTCAGATCATCACAGAGTAATATTTGGTAGCTCTGTTGTTTTTATTGTATCAGACTCTGTAGGTTTGACCTGAGAGTTATGGCTGAAAGGCCCTCTTGTTCAAGTGTATTTTCTTCAATCAACTTCCCCTAATTCTGTTGGGAGCAATTTATTCCCTTACAGTTTTTCTTTCTCCCCTGAGGTTTTTCTTAAATATTGCTAAGAGGCCTGAATGGGATGAGAGTAAGAGATGCCACAGCTCATTTTCATACTATATTATAAGCTAGGTTGGTCAGACATTTTTCAAAACCATGAGAGAATAAGATGCAGGAGACAGAGATTTTGAAGAAAAAGAGATAAAAGCCCCAAATTTGCAACAGTCTGAGCATATTTGTCCCAGCAGAAAGGACAATGAACAAAGGAAAAGGAAGATAATTTGTCTACTAGCCATTTTCTTGAGTTGGTAATAAAAAGTGCCTTTATAATTTTATCAGCAGTTCTTTCTTCCAACATGCTTACCTGTTATTTTGCAACATTGTGACTGTCAGAAATGGTGGGTATATACGGAATTACTGAATACATTAAGTTTCACTTGTGTTGAATAATAATTAACACATATAAATAGGCTCTGCCTTGCAAATCCATCTAACAGTTAACTGAATAGGCAGTTATCTGATATGGGCACTGTCTATCTGTTTGAAATGGAGCTTCTTAAATCTGGCAAAATGATACACTATGCTTATGTGATTGAATAGTTGACTATACTATGTTTTCATATTTATTTTATATACTAATCATTGTATATCAATATTTTCACTTGTTCTTGTTTGTCTCTAGTGTTCACTGACATTATTCTCAGTTGGTAAGAAAATTATTCTTCTTTCTTTCCAAGTAATTTCTAAATAGACTATCATGACAAACTCAGGCCAAGTGTTTCCTTTGGTTACCACTTTTGTATTTATAAAAAAAAAAACCTTTAAACAGGCTCCTTCAGTAAATAACCGAGCATTCACTAAATTCTTTCAGAGATGCTCTCTCTTTATATTAAAATGTATTGCTACTGTTCATAAGTATCTTCAGACTTCAGTTTCCAAGGTTAACTGTGGGTGTTTAAATTGACTTTTTCAACGTGTTCACATCCAAAATTAAGAAAATGTGCATCAACTGTTCTAACCATAGTGCAAAAAAAGAAATGCATCACAGACAAAATCTCCTAATTTGTTAACAACGATGGCTGTGAATCAGTGGAGTTATACCAGCCTGCTTCACGCAGTTGGCTTTCCCACCCAAGTCATTTGCAGGAAACAGTAAGGATTGAGCTGTGTTGCAGAGGGAATCCCACTATATACATAGCAAGTCAGGGTACATATGCTTCCATGGATGGTTCAAAGATAAGCGAAAGCCAAAGTGTACTTGGGTAAACAACACTGTTATTTTTATAAAAAAATATATAAGTTCCACTTCTACCTATTTCCGAAATCTCTCCATTTTCACACACCTGATTTTCCTAGATTGTGTTCCTCCTCCACAGCGCACGGACCTCAGCTCATTGTTGATCTTGCATGAAGACCAGTGTTCTACAACCCAGGAATACTGATTGCACTCACTGTAACATGGGACTGCCTCATGCACCTGTCAAGAACAGGAAAGGAAAAAAAAAATTATGTGGAACTATACAAATTATAGAAAAATAGCCTACCTTTCAGTAATGCCCGCTGAACATAACCTGAAAAACTACACTCTGGCCCAAATAGCCAAATTACATTCCCAAAAAGCAAGATATATTTGGCTTTTCTGAATTTACTGACTTGCCTAAAGAAGCATACCGGGGAAATCAACTAAATATGATGGTGTGCTTTCACGGGAGAGAACAAAGGACAGTCATTTCCTAGCACCAAGAATAGGAATTCCATTATCATTTCATTTCCTCAAAGAGCTCACACGGCATCTATTAGATGGTCCAGCTCTCAATTATATGGTATATTGCATTCTCAGATGTACTTTAACATGTCGATTGAAACAAATATATATAAGGAAAATTATTCTTGAATATGAGGGTTTCTAAAATGCATAAGAAAAGTGGTATTGTTTGCACCGGAAATTT